CTGAGCACACTCCAGGGAGCCTTCGAGTCTGCAAGCGGAAAAGAGATAAGAATGTTCAATGCTACTAGTAACAAGTGCACAAGGGCATTACTACTAGTAGCAAGAAGCTGCTACTAACAAGGATGCTTTGGGGTCAGGAGCTCTTTCAATTGGCCAAGTGTCTCTGCTCAGGCGAGCTGTTGGTCAAGTCAGACCCCATGCGAACTGTGTTCCTACCAGCCTGTTGCAAACGTGTAAGTGGCCCGTGCAACGGATCTCCGGTGCCCTCGATTTGGTTCGCCCTCACTAAGAGAACAAAAGAGATGCCCAGGAAGTGATTTGTCAAGTAGTTGAGGGTCCATGTTCCATTCCATATGTGCTTAAGTATAACCATACCACATCGTTGCTCATAGTGCATGGCTTAAGTTCAGCAGACAGTTTTGATGTGCCCCCACACTCAGATACTGGTTGTCTCCGTTGGTATGAAGGTGTTCCCGCACGCTTCACGGGGTTCTTCGAGCAAGTGACTGGCTATGGTTCTCAGATGCTCGTGATGTCTCTTTGTTTGAGGTGCCCCCGCTGCCCCAGAGCACCGACAGGCTAGGGGGCAGAAAATCGTTCACTGGAGGCCATCGCTCTTAGGTTGGAGGCCATCGCTTCTAGGTTGGAGGCCATTCAAGCTGCCTGCGAGTAAGCAGACTGTCCCGTTGTGCAGGGGCAATATCAGCTCCTCTCGGCACTTTCCTGCTGGGGTGCCCAGTCTCAAAGTTTTTTCACTGGACTGCAGTTTACGAAGAGCCCTTCAAGCGGTTTGACTTGTTGCTTGGTGCGCAAAAGATCGCGAAATGTGGATAAACCGCTTTTGCCTTCATGTCTCGAGCGCACAACGGGGAATCAGAGCAAGACGAGCCCGCTCGAAAGCCTAGATGAAAAGTACGCCCGCAACGGTGATCCAAGAACTTGGTGGCGCATGAGGCTGATACCAAAGGTTAAGGTGTGGCCGAGAGCAATGACTAGATGCTGGGAAGGTGAAAGAGAATGCTAACAGATTGAAGACCAACAGTTTGTTCTTAGTGGACACCACGCTCCAATTTTGGACTTGGCCTCTTAGAGCATCAAAAGATACTCCCCAAACGATGCACCATGCTTTTGACCACCAAACGGCCCGCGTCATAGTTGAATCCGTTTTTTAACTGACTGCATCAAACGGTACCGAGGAGACGCCACAAAGTGACGGCCGGCAGGTGGGTCAGACGAACTTGGCGTATCACGTTCGGATGAATGGATGCCAGCCAGCTTGGAAGCAGTACTCAACAGAGCCGGATTTGCCATAGTAGCTAGAAGCCAATGCAACTGAATATGTAGTTGCCCAAAGCTCAATCATTCAGAGGTGTCCTAGTCATGACAGAGGCGACATTCCGGACGTTTTTCCCACATAAGTCCTTGAAGGTGGCAAGATACACCATTGGCAGCCCAGATGAGCCTGGTGTGGCAGTTCCCTAGCCCGAACAGACGGTCTGTTTTGATTCTGATGAGACAAATCACCCAAAGCAGATCCGATTAGTTGAAGACACCTCTCACATCATCTCAGGCTGCCAGTCCTTGGTGGAAGCAGGTCGCTGAAATGACGGTACCTGGCCCAGAGGCTTCATTGAAGATGACTCACATTAGAACGAAGATTCTACACATCTCTATAGTTCCCCACTCCATCCCAGCAGCTAGTCTGCGCAAGGCCCAGGAGGCACAGGAGGCAAAGGCTCCACCTGGTAACGCTTCCGAGGCCGATGCGCCAAGCGTCAGGGCGAGCGGAGGGCGAATGGAGTAGGTTTCCCAACCACAAGTAGTTTGCACGTGGGGGCTGAACTAGGCTAAGTTACTGGGAGAGATAGAGGCTGTGGGATGCTTTGGCATGATTGAACCCAAGGTGTTGGATTCTGTAGGTGCACTTCTACGACTTGGAGTCATGCCGCACTCTCGTTTTCACAACAGAGCATGCGCTACCAAGTTCCAACACCCTCCTTGTCTTGTGCTCTTGGGCTATGAACTTAGAAGTTGGACAACACATGTTGCAGATGAGATGAGCCTTTCTTCTTTTCTCCCAATGCAGGTAAGCCGTCTCAAGTACGAAGCCCCAGCAGCTCCAGCTCCGGTGGCTCCAGCGGCTCCAGTTGCACCGGCTGCTTCCCTGGCAGAGGTGCAACTGGGTTTCAGTGAAGTCTTCCTAACATCGGATCAGTATGGATCAGGGGGTGACTTTCAACAATTGCCTAGAATTCTTCGAAGGTTCTACCTGAAATGGCAAAACGAGTGGTTCCTTGAGATCATCCCTTGGCAGGTCTTGGAGCCTTTGCTCAAGGAGTTGAGAGAGGACTTTCGCAAAGAGGTCCAGGAGGTGGGAGAAGACTTTTGTGCCAAGCTCCGAACATCTTATTTTTTTAAAAGTAATATCTGTCCCAATGTCAGGGCGAGATCTATGGGATGGGCCGTGTCTTTTGTCCCTTTTGTCCCACAGCCACCTCCACTCGAGAGCTCCGCGCCACGCACCGGAACCTCAGCGAAGGCTCAGTTGGCACTGATGGAGCAGAACTTCCAGCTCCATGCCGAGCTTCGGAAGGTGCAGTGACCATGGATCGGATGGATCGGATGGATAATGTTGTAACGCTCATTTTCCAACATCTCCATTTTGATGATTTTTCCTCTGGGATGTTGGACCAGACCTGAAGTCTTGGCACGGCGAAAAGAGCGATGTCTGGTGGATGGTGCAGCCAGCGGAGGTAGGGTGCTCCAGCGGGCCAGGATGTGAATGCCCTTCGAGCGGAAGTGCAACAGCTGAAAGGTGAGCTAAGAGCCTTGTGACCGGAAAAAAACACACATGCGCGAGATGTGGGTTTTGCATGGAACCCTGAAATCGACTTCATGCCTTACCTGTTGCCATTCTGCAATCTTTTTGACATCAAAGTTTCAGCTAGCATTTACCACATGTTGGGGTTGGCACTTCGCCCATTGACGTGATGTTTCAAGTCCATCACTTTGCATACTTTGCCAGGCTAGGGGAGTGTCACTGTGCTGTCCAGGTGTGTTGGTCAAGTGGCCCGTTTTTTCGCATTTCAAGTCCTGATCTGAAAAGGTCTTGTGCGAGGGATCATAGAAGGCATCCTTCGGTGACATGCTAAGTCCCGGCGCTATGGTTGATAAGACCAGTTGATAATTCCTTTCCTATTGGTCTTTGGTGGGTCTCCCTATATGTCAATACATCATTGTCTTTAGCAAAGGGACCAAAGACTCCAACATCATCACTGGCCGTGTATGGTGATCGTTTCTTTGGTCGTTTCTCACTTGTTATTCAGTGTTATGATCCACGAAGTACCAGGGCATTGCTTGAACGAAGACTGTCAAGGAAAGAACTTGGAAGCTCCCAGAAGAAGGGGGCGGCAGCGCGGCAAAGTTGCAGACGCCGGCAGGTTGTTGATGCAAGCGGGTGAAGTCTGAAGTCTGGACAAACATGGACAAATCCAACATGTGTCCTTTCAAGTTGGATTTCAATGGAACGACGCGCTGTCCAAGAGGAGTCTTCTACCTTCTTGTACGTGACACGTACAGCTGCCATAGTTGTTTAGTCTCAGGCTCCAATGAAGGCTGTTTCATCTACTACTGCAAGCTGCCATGTGCATCCATGTGCAAGCTAGTAAACAGAGATTGCACTTATTCATTCCAATGGCTATGCACCTTGCCTGAGATATCTCACATGGCTTGAGAACTGTTCTTTTGGCTTGACTCGCAGAGCGCGACCTGAATAGGTCCATTCAACACTAAACGAACAACACTTAGTCATTGCCTCTGAGCGCTATGGCACGTCGGAAAGCCGCTGTGCTTTTACCGCTCTGCTTGGCGGCCGGGTGCGGCTTTGTGGTGCCGAAGTTGGCACCGACCTGGGCACCTCAGCGGGCCCCACTCCGACAGCGGGCCCCAGCAACTGTCGCTAGACAATCCTTTGCTGCAGGCGTGGCGGTGTGGCGGTGTGGCGGTGTGGCGGCGTTGTTGACATCTCCCAACCTTCAGTGGTCAGAGCGACCCAAAAAAGCTCAGCATGAGTTGACGTGAATTAGCAACGTTTCGACGACTTCTGACTTCATTCTAATTGATTGTCAGTGTGCAAACACATTTGATGACAGACACAATCTCCACTTCAACGCCATTATATACTGTATATGTTAAGATTCCCTAGAAATCTAGGAACCAAACCATTAGTGGGAGCACTTCTTCAAGGAAGCGCCTTGAACAAGTGCGAGCTATCCTGCGTCAAGTTACTAGTTGCTGACTTAGCCTAGTAGCGAACTAGTCGCCGTTACTTATACAATTAAGTAGGAACGCCTATTTAATTAAGTAAGAAGGGGCGGGCAAGAAAAAACGCAATCTCTTGGAACCTTTTCCAACTTGGGAGGCCAACTGCTCCTGCCTTTCGCTGCTTCCGTCCTCACCGGTGTCCTGGGCCTCGAGGCAGTGCGGCAGTTGAACGAGGGATCCGCCTTGAAGGAGACCGATCTCCACCAATCCGCTCCCGGTGTGCGCTCCGTCGAACAGTCGACGTCCGCTTGGAGATTAATCGATGTCCGGACTTTACTTCTTTCTCCCGAAAGGAACGGCAGTAACTGTTTTTTATGAGGTGAGAGGTTTGCTTATGAGTGCGCTTCAGGATCTCATAAAGAAGTACACCAGCATCATAGTGGTGGACTCGCCAGAAGGCATGCCTTCTACTCCGCCCACGGATGGGGTGTATTGGTACATCAAAGATCCGGATGTGTACCGGCGCGTGCTCGTGCAGGGTGATTTAGGCTTAGGCGAGAGTCGCCAGGCTACACAAAGCTCGTATTCGACCACTCTTGTTTTGGATGATGCAGGGCAGCGTTTGGTTTTTCAAGATGGCTTTCTCTGAGGTTACATGGATGGACAATGGGAGTCCAATGATCTGGAAGGTTTTGTCTTTGAGATGCTGAAACTAGAGGTGGTCAAGAAGGACCCGATTGAACGACCTCTGCAGAGTCATTCCCAACAGCGACCGCTGGCGAAAGCCACTTGTTGTGCGCAAGGTAGAAAGGTAGAGGCTAATGAGACAGTCCTTTGCACAGAGAAAAACACGCACACGGGCTATCCAGCATCATCCAACATTCATTTTCCAAGCAAGCCAGGCTGAAGCAGGTACTTTTGTTTTGATTGAGCTGTGACTTTTCAACGTTAGCCCAAGCTAGCAGACTAGCAGATGCCAGGATTTGGGACTTTTGGGCTTGCCGCTCTTGAGCAGCGCGATTGTGGGCAGCGTGAGCTGGCTGCTTTTCCCAACCAACTTGTCAGCATCAGGCTGGAAAGAACTAAAGCTGTTGACAGGGAGAAGACAAGTTGGTTTGTGTCGAATATTGCAACACATTATCATACGTTTGAAGAAATGATGGAGTGAACTTATGCGTGGTATCTAAGAGGGGCAGAGGTCAAGAGATTCAAAGAGCAAGTAGCCTCTGTGATGTAGAGGAGCAATTCTTGGAGCTTCTGGGACTGCCAGGTGCCAAGGAAAACATCGCCAAGCACTACGATATCTCCATGAAGCTTTACGAGCAGATGTTAGGCCCCACCATGATGTGCTTCGGCTGCAAATGTTAGGCCCCACTGAACCCAGATTCGATGCTCTCCGACCAGTGAAGGTACTCGGGTGCTTACTACCATACTCCAGAAATGACCTTGGAAGAGGCGCAAATAGCCAAGATGCGACTGGTGGCCGACAAGCTGGACCTGAAGCCAGGCGACGAAGATCCACGGCTGGTCATTTCTCTGATTACAGACATCCACACAGTCCACACATTGTTTGGACTTCGTTTGGTCATTCTCCGTCTCCGTCGTCTCGCTCCGCACGGTGAGGGATGAAGGTCCTGGAGCTCGGCTGCGGCTTTGGCGCCCTGGCGGATTTGATGGCCACCGAGTATGGCGTCCACGTCACGGGAGTGACCCTGTCAGAGGTGCGGAACGAAGCACCGAGGTTTCGGTGCGGTTGGTTTTTGCTAAGTCCAATCTCCGCGGGATTGGACTTTTGAACGCAAATGCTTTTTTTACAAGCTGCTACTGACCAGTGCTAGGCTAGTGTGAGGAGAGGGGAATTGAATGGAGTAGCCTTCCGGTCTTTGGGCATTTCAAGAAAGGTAGAGACGGTAGAGACTTGCTCTTTGCAGGACCAGCACGCCTACGCAAAGAAGCATTTCAAGAATCCCATGGTGGACATTAGACTGCAAGACTATCGGAGCATGACTGGACAGTTTGATCGCATTTACTCTGCACCTTGGACCGGATTTCATTTCATGATGTTCCATGCTTTGTGAGGCTCAACCATCCAATCCCCTGTTGTCTTCTTGGGCATCAAAGTTCTTGGCAAGTGCACCCAAGAACACGGGCCAAAACACTTGCTTAATTCAGTTTGCCGTGGTCATGAACAGACATGGTAGGAGGATGCCCCTTTGAGACCGCACTTGCCAGCATCCAATGTGGGCAGGGACTAGGGAGAAACCTTGCGCAGTCCGAAAGCCACAGAAAAATCTGTTCGCTGTTTCCACTTCTCTAAGCTTCACCCTTGGCCATGAGCTCTTTCTCAGGTAGGCATCTTCGAACACATCGGACGGAACTGTTACGAGTTGCTTGCCTTTTCAACGGCGTTGCTTGTTGAGCTTAGATGCCTACTAATCTTGGTCCTTGTTGACCAAGTCAACTTTATCCGTTTCCTTGATAGCAGAAGCATGGCTAACATCCAAGGACATATTTCGAGAAATGCCAGGAGCTTCTGAAGGTCCCGGTGACAAAAACTCGGGAGATTCCTTTCTGATCCTTTTGGCTGAAGACTAGTAACAAGGGCAGCGCTACTAGGAACAAAGGGCATCGCTACTAGGAGCAAGAAGCTACTAGTAGCTCCCGTAGGAACAAGAAGCTACTCCTCTCTCTCTCTCTCTTAATATTAGATATTTTTCCTCCAACTGCATGTGAGAGACATTGAGGGACGTACAGGCAAGGCGGTCGTGCACGTTTGTTTTATTGAAAGGATGACGGCATTATGGTCATCCACACCATTGGCTTTTGCAGAAGTGGACAGTGGAATCATGGCGGTTGGATGAACACCTACATTTTTCCTGGTGCAGAACTGCCGACGATGCCCCTCGGCAGTGTTGTGTGTATTTGTTTTGTGTTCCCAAGGAGTCATCCTTGCCTAGTTTGCTTAATGCTCAAGAATGGAACCGTCTTCCTCAGAGTTTGTAACATTATAAAGCTTGCCAAGGTCGCATTTCACGCAAGGCTTTCAGGACTCTTGGGTGGACTGAGGGGTGAGAGGACTGACAGTGAGTGCCACGAGACATGGCTGTATACACCGCAAACCATAGACTCTGTACATCCCAAACCCTCAGAGGATGGGGTGATCGTTTTCAGGAGCGGTGGCATTTGGAAGACTGGCAAAGCTTTGGAGTGAGCTATGCAAAGACCTTGCGTGCATGGAAGGACAACCTTGACAACTGGAAAGGACTTGAAGAGTTTGACTTGCGCTTTCGACGGATGTGGGTGCCTTGGGCCTTGCGTTTCCTTGGCCAGATTTAGGGTGTTTTACCATAGAAGCGAGGACCTGTCATGCCGCTCCAGAAGAGTTTGTTATGAACATCGAACTGAGAATGTAGCCTCTTAGGGTTGGGGGAGTGCGGGCCGCGTTCAACATTAGTCTTGCACGCAGAGGCAACTGGCCAACATACTTGCATCGAAATCCCAGAAGACATACCTTTTTTTCTGGAACTTTTGTTGACAATTGACAACTAGACAACATATGCTGAGAAACTGATTGCTTGCTGGCTGATATAGTAGAATGTGTTTCTCACATGTTACGATGATTTTCTGTTGCTCAGGAATACTATTTGATGTGTTGTGCGGCATCCTTCCAGGCAAGAAGAACAAAACTTTGGCAGCTTCTTGGCTGCCTCTGCAAACAAACTCCAGCGTTGCTGACTTGTGGATTGGCTATCGGCTATCAGTTGAGGCTGGTTTATACCAAATATCCCTCCAAGAGGCAGGATGATTGTCATCATATCCGTCAACCAAAGAGGGCGGAGCCTGCCACGGCCACACGATGGAATCGGGAGATCACCTGAAGCGGAAGGGACGCCATGGCCATCGTTCGCCGGCAAACGGAGGACTCAAAAAGATGCGGCGTTAGCACCACCTCAAGGGGTAGCATGTCAAAGGTGCTGAAACGAAGTGTTTGGAGCTGTGCCATGGAATGCAATCCACTCATTCTCTCCTTTGATGACAGGTAAACTTCGTTGCATGCAAAAATGCTTGTAATGTTTGTCACCTCCCGGGATGTTTAGACGGAACACAAGTACCAACCAGGTGTTGACCTATATATCTTTGGAATGGTTGGACATTTGTGTCTTATCTGTGGGCAATTGCAATGGTTGCTTCAAGATGTAAATATTGTAAATCCCAGTCAGCGCCAGCAGGTTGGCTGGTGTTGTCATTGCCACAGGTTTGAGTTGCCAAGGCTGGGGATTGTTTAGACTCTTGGCTGCAAAATTCCTTTTCATAAGCAATTCTCTCTAACGCAGTTGGGCCCAAACACAGCTGAACAGTCCCAACAGTGCGCAGTGGGACATATGCTTGGACCTCAGACCCAAGACAACCAACTTGGGGCTTGGCGAAACACACTTTAACGTTTCTGGAATGCTAGGAGTGCTTCATCACAATATTTGTTTGATTTACCTGTGCCTTGTTCTCTTTCCGGGGTGGTACAGGAGCGAAACTGCTCGGCTTCCCAGGTCGGCTCTCCGGCTTCTGGCCCGTACTCGCCCGCCTGTGGCACGATTTGCAGGCACACGAATCGCTTGAAGGTGTTCACATTTGCCAACGAGCAAGAAATCACTTTGCAGACTCCGCTGTTTGTTACTAATAGCTTCTTGTTATTAGTAGCGATGGCCTCCAGCCTACTTGCGATGGCCTCCACCTAATAGCGTCTTTGTTACTAGTACAATTGATAATTGATTGGCAAGTTTCTGTCACTGGATGTTTGGAGTGTCTGAAGAAGCCACTTCCAGTGTTTGGAAAGCAATGACAAACATCGCCCCTGAACGTTATATGCTCTTCCAACTGTTGATCCTGAGCAGTTCAGTAGTTCCGACATATTTTTTACCCATTGGCTCCAAAAGAACACCCTTCTCATGCCTTGCTGAAATGCCTTGCTCATCTTCTCACGGGGATGTCCCCTTTTGTACCGCCGAAAAAGGATGGAGCAACTGCGGACCTTGCGGGCTTCGCTCGCTTCGCTCCAAAGCGACCATGGCAGCCGAGGTGAGAGTTTTTGCGTCCGGAGACCATGCATCAGAAGAATATGACCCAGACTCTCAGACCATAGTTTTTGGGCCTATTGGATTCTTAGAACATAAATATATACAATTGAAGTTTGATTCAACTGAAGTCTTCGATTGAAGCATCAGTCGGATCTGATTTGTTCGGATCTTAAAAGCTATATTAGGTGGTCGTTCTGCTCACTGTGACTTCTTCTCGCATCGTTTGCGCACAACAGGAAGCTGCCAAGACCGCTGAGAGCCGGTGGTCTTATGTGGCCTTTGCGAAGGCCTTTCCCTTTGCGATGCTTGGCCACAAGCCATCCTGAATCTCATGGGACGGACTTTGGACGTCCTGGTGGAACTACTTATCAACGGCTACTGTAGCCTTACAGCCACCTGTATTTCTAAGACTGACGCCACCTGCAGCTGCTCCGGTCTGGCTGCTTGAAGTTGGTATGCACCTGTCAATGAGTTTTGGTTGAGTGAGAACATTTCAGTGTTGATACTTGATAAATCTGATAAGGGTTTGTGGGGCCTCAGATTTTCACACATGGAGCATTCTGGAGCGCTCAAGCTGACTCAAACTGACTCGAGTTGGTGATGGTTCTTGGTAGTAGATGGTAGTTCTGCATCTGCGCCCTGGTCGAAATGGTGAATCCCAGAACATTTTCTGTCTCAAAGCACTTTGTAACAAGGTCCAGGCCTGTGTCCCAAATGGCGCACGTGCAGCAGGTCCACTTCATTGTGTTGGCCAACTGGAACTATCCAGGCGGAAACAACCTTGCCTATGTGATGCAGAATGATGTCCGATTGATGGAAGCAGCCCTTCGCCGGAAATTTCTGAATGCCCTGGTTGTTCCACCGGCAATCGAGAACACGACAATAGCTGGCATGGCCGGCATTGGGAACTAATTGCAGCATGCCGCCCAGGCAGTCCACAACGGAGACCTTGTGATCATCTATGTTGGGGGGCATGGTGTGACTGCTGGCGGTGGATCAGTTTCAGTGCTGCTTCCCATTGACTTTCAGCGTGACCAGCCGCACCCTGAGCTGTGGGCCCCACATGCTCGATTGAAGACAATCTTGGCAGTCTTCCAACAGTACAATCAGGATGGTCTCAATCATGTCATTTGGAACATTTGCCGTGAGCCTGCGCAGAACCTCACACTGTCACACATGGAGATTCCAGGCTACAACTATTTCATCATGTTTGCCTGTGCTGACTCTCGCGTTTCCTACGTCGGCAACAACATGGCAGACGTGAATGGGGATGGACAGCCGTATGTTCAGGTCTCTAATCTTCCAAAGGCATATGATGAAGCCTTGCAACCATCACCTGATCTTCGATCACTTTCAGACTCTGTGAGGGCGAGGGCCTCCGGGATGCGTCAACCTCCAGCAACCCCACAAATTGTCCAAGCTGTGGACACATTGATGCCTCCTGAGGGGGGTACCTTTGGCTTTTGGGGTCCAATTGCGTCTTGGATGTGGAGCAATGTGGTGAGGCCAGTGGCTCATGCCGGCTTAGATGCTGCCCAACACGTCGCCAACAATGTGGTCCAGCAAGGTCATCGCGCTGTCGACGCCTTTGCTTTTGCTCCTGCCCCTCCTGCCGCCCCTCCTGCCTGGGGAGCATTGCAGGACGGTCTCTACATCATCAGAGCCAGGGGCGGCGCCAACGAAAGGAGGATCTTGTGTTGCGCAGATGATGGGGAACGGGTTGATCTTTGGCATGAAGTGGATCGCAGCGGCAGGCAGGTATGGCGGGTGACTAGCGCCGGGCGCTTTTTCACAGTTGAAGTCCTTGCTGGCACAGGGGAGAGGAGGTACCTCAGTTGCCACGAGGATGGAGAGACGGTTGATCTGTGGACACATGATGATGCCTCTGGTCGCCAGCGTTGGACATTGCAGCGGAATCTCAATGGCTCCTGGAAGATTCAGATTGTCGAGGGCGTGAATGGCGACAGGAAATACCTCAACTGTACCCACGATGGAAAGAAATGTGACCTTTGGCATGTGGATGATGAATCAGGCCGGCAGCATTGGATCTTGGAGCCTGCAAGGTGACGTGACCATGAGAGGCTTAGCGACCCCTAGAGCATTGCCGGCTGTGCCCACGCGCGGTGAGTGTTCACCGCGATTTAAAATAGGACCCGGTGTATCATTAACTTTCCAGTTGTGCACCTACTTCTTTGTCGGCTCCGTGTCAACTTTGCCTCCATGTCTTCCGTATGATATCTCCGCCGTGCACTAAACGACCTTGGAGCCGACTCATGACATTGCTGAACTCCCGAGGAACAACATGATCATTGCGACGTTGAAAACTTCCGCAGCAGATTTGGTCACACAGTGCGTGATCGAGCGCAAGTCCCTGAAAGAAGTGGATTGGAAGCGGAATATGGCTCTGTCCTTAGAGCCACTCGTTCTAGGGTTTCCTTGCAAAGGCCACATAGTGAGTTTAGCAATGTTCTCAGATTTTCACAATTTTCTGTGCCGCCCAAACGCATCGTTTCCAGGTCTTTTGTCTCTTTGGCGCTGTATACTTGGGAGCCTTCCAGTGGCTTGACGGGTTTTGACTGGCACATGAGACACTGACGCAATGAACGTCATGAACGTTTGATCGTGCGGCCGGGATGCCTTGAATTGCCCGAGGTACTGGTACCAGGCCGGAAACTCATGATTTCAACTTGAACACATCGTCTCAGCTCTCAGGGTTTCACTGAACAGTAGGTGTTCCGGGGCCGTTTGACCGTTGCTTCCATTTCTTGGCTGTTTCGAACATGTCTCCCGCTGCGGCCAGCGCTGGAGGTCAATGTTTTCAAGCGGATGTTCACAGGTGTAGCAGCTTGGTGGACACAGACGCGCATACTTTCTCAGCAAAATATGGATTGTCAGACTTGGTGAACCGCCTTCTGTTAACAACAGCATCATGAACATTCCGCTTCGCTTTCATGCCTCAAACGCATCTTTGAAGTCTTGCAGCTCTGGAGTTCCCAGATCCAAGGAGAAGTTCACCACACAGCCCTGGGCGGCGAAGTTGCGCGATGGTCCTGGGCTTATGGCCCTGGGCGCCCAAACAGCTTGGAGCCCAAGTCTTTTCGAAGGCAAGGCCTGGCTGGCCCGGCTGGTCTTTCAAGCACAGCTTTCGGTGCACGTGAAAGTCGTGGTGAAGCCAGAGTTGAAGCTGTTTGTTGTTTTTGGAAGAGCTGTTGGGCTAAAGTCTAAAGTTTTTGATGCTTTCAGCTCGATGAATTGCGTTGCCTTCCAAGTTGCTTGTATATATATATATATAAATTAATGTACACACACACACACAGCAACTCTGTTGATCTTGTCCGGTTGATCACGTGGAGATGTGCTGCTTATCCTGCATTGATGACTGATGCTCCACCTTTTTCTTTTTTTTTTGGTTTCGATCGACTTTCCTTTCTGAGGCCCTGGACCTTGGCATGCTGTCAGAAGCTCAGTGGGGAAGAAGTGGAAGAACTGGCTGGTTCAGCAGACATGCGACTGCTAAGCTAATTCAGACACTCTCTGACACTCAGACTGAAAGTCTCAAGATAAGACAAGCCCCGCATACAGACTCCACTCAAACACTGAAAGCCAAATCATGCCTCTCGCCTCTCACTTGTTACTGAATTGATTTTGTCTGACCCCAGGACTTGTGTCTACCTGCCCACTTTTTACGTCTTCAAGGCAGGTGTCTTCAGTGGCAGCTTGGATCCCACTGTTTGGGCCAGCACCGGCATTGGCCCCTTGAATGCACTGAGTTGCTGACTGTCTTGGATGCACCATGAAGAGGGAGAATCTGAAAACACCCCAAGGAAACTACACCAAAAACATCAGCAAGGAGCAGGGCATTCTCAAAACTGGGGTGCAACATCACTTTTGTTTGAAACATTGCAGAGAAGCCTTCACATTTGAGAGCACCTTAGATCTTTGTCATGTCTTGTATTATAGGGGTCTTCCCGCACTGACAACATTCACATGGGATGCTTTTTGGTTTTCACCTCATGCCACATCCACCCGACTGCGAAGCAGCTGCCTACGACCTCTGTCTGGCAGGATGCCTACGACGTCTTCCGCGTTTGGGGCCCTGCCGACCTCGTGTGCTTCTCTGTACCTTTGTGGCTGCGACTCCCGGTACGTCACGCGGGGGGCCCCGGGTACGAAGCAGTTTGGCCATTCCAAGCACCAAAACTAAGCACCAAAGCCGTCGGGTAGAATTTCTGGTGAAGCACGCAGATCAATTCCAGTGATGTTTTGTGATGACTTCTTTGTGTTTTTTTGGGGGTGACGTTTCCATGTTTCCATGTGACGGCTGAGCTTCCGGGTCGATTGCCCCTCCAAGCCTTGGACGTCCTCTCGCCGCTCTCAGGTCGTCTCCTTCGTTTGGACGGCCTACCTCTCCTTTGCCCGCGGCGCCAACAAGTGAGTTCCGCCAAGGTTGGTCAGCAATTATCCCTAGTAGCGTTCTTGTTACTAGTAGTAAGGCCAGGAGCCCTTAGTAGCTTCTTGTTCCTAGTAGCGATGCCAGGAGCCCCTAGTAGCGTTCTCGTGGGTGATTAGGAGAAAGGCTGCCGATTTCGGGACAAAGCCATGGGTTCTGCCGATGTTGGCTTCATACGGCGTGTCCAATCTTGCGCGTGTTTTCCCGGGTCTCAATGTGACCAGACTTGCATTTTCCCTGTTTTCCATTTGTGCAGAGTTCCGGCGGGGTTCCTGCTACATGCTGGCAACGTTTCAGCTAGCAGGCAAAAATGCCCTGCTGAGCCACAGATTTCTAAGGGTTGCAGCTAGTATTTCAGTTGCCCCGAGAGAGTATACCCTTTGATTCGCGTGGAAGGAGTGCCTGCAGATCAAATGTATCGATTCAAGTGGAAGTCGTGGCAAGTTACGCTGGATAGCAGTGCCAATGACACTGCAGTCCGTCAAATTCTCTCTCTCCGACAAGGGTGCGGAGTTGTGGATCAGTGTGTGCTGAAAATCTTGCTTGTCCCCAATGCCAGTTGGCCTGGAATGAACTCATTTGGAACACCTTCAACTTCATGGTCTATGATGTGTGCAGTTGCCAGCTTTTGGGAGAAGTGACAAAAGTATCTCACCATGAACAAGCACTTAGAGTGGGGTGCTGAACAACCCCCAGGAAGCACACACAAAAAAAAGCAGCTTCTCCGTCCAAAACAAGAAGGAGACACATCAAAGATCAAACCAAAAAGATGGTCAAAGATCAGCTGATTCAACACATCCTTACAACTGAAACCGCTGTCTCCACCATGGGTTTGCGATGGCACCATGGCGCAGAGATTGGGCCTTGGGTACTGTCGGATGGACATCTGAAGGGTTTTCAAGAAATGCGTCAAGATCTGCCACTGAGGCGGATGCGGGAACTACATCATTGCGACTAATGAAGGGGGGCCGGCAGGCAGAGAAGTTGAGCAACCCACCTGGAATGATGCTTTCTCGCTTTTTACTTATTTTCAGCTAAGGGATGAGATTGTGATTTTGGTGTCAAGGAATTTGGTGAAGCAATGCCCCTTACTGTAAGTAGCTTTGTGTCTTGTGGCTCACCATGATTCCTCTTGCATTTCAATTCCAACCATTTTGTTTCCAGGTGCCTATATTGCACTGAACTGTGGCGTTTGCTTGGCAGGCTTGCGCAAACAGGGTTGGACCAAGTCGCATGGTCAATGGTTCAATCTCACTTTGAAAGAGCAAACCGTCTTGGGTGGGTTGGACTCGGATTCCGGAGCACGTTTGGTTTGCCTCAGGAGGTCCTGGGGAGATAGCAGGCGCGCCTGATCTGGACATGTTGCCGACTTATTAATTCTGTAATTGAAATAGCTTGGGGCTGATCTAGAATTTGTGACCCTACCGGGTTCTAAATAAAGCTGCCATCAAGTTAAGTAATAAAGGGCGAATAAGAATTCTTCAGTCCCCCGATACCACCCTTTTTCAAAGTTGCGGATTGGGCTTCTGATATGTGCTGACAGCCGACATGAAAGGCTCTTTTTCTGAAGGCCATTAAGACCGAACTTCAACGCGACAACATTGAAGTTGCGGGGTTGGAGCGGTGACATGGAACAGCTCTTGCGATGGCTGTTTTTTTGAAGAACCCGGTATCACCTTATCTCTTGTTATTTCCGAGCTACCGAGTGGGCAGGCTCTGTTGAAGATACCGTCGCCAAAGCGCTAGGTGGTCCTTGCGGCTGTGGTGGACTTTGTGGCTGTGTAGGCTGTGGTGCGTCAGCAGGCAGGGCCTTCAGCCACAAGAAGCTCTAAATACTTACCAGAGCCTGTCAGAATGCCAGATGCTTGAAACTTGAATCATTTCTATTCTATTAATTCCGTTTCTAGAGTAGTTATAGTTTGTAAATATATGGGGAATATGTATATATATATATTAATATTGTCATTCTGTCACGCTTTGCAAGTAAGTCGACATGGTCCTTCATGATCCAAGCCAGGATCACGAGGTGAATTGAAACTCGCCAGGTGCAGGGACTCATGGCGGTGCTCACACAGGAGGCTGTCCGATAATTCGCAACTTCGCAGGCAGGGCCTCCAGATGAGGCTATCCAACATGTTTGCACCAGCCGCAGTTTGTTGCTCCCTTTTTCCTTTGCATGCTGGGGCGGTATGCTTAAATACATGTCAATATGTGGAACAAAGATCCAGGCTTATGAGGACAGCGTTTTGTCACTTGATACAGATGCGCAGGTGGTGATGCGTGTGGTGTGATTTGCTTAGGCGAGTCTGCTTGATTTGCATGAGACGCACTGTCACTTAACAAGAACCAACGCATTTATTCCTAGCAGCTGCAGGATTTGATTGTCATCCTGAAATCAGCAGGGTCCTCTCTCTCTTTCTCTCTGTCATTTTTTCCTATGCGGACTTAAAACTAGCAACATTGATTGAACCCGACGTTGATTGGACGTCAGTATGCTGCTGCTTGTTTTGTGAGTTGCGAAAGGTGCTGTACCTGCGAACCGATTTGTGGGCAATGGATTTAGCGCATGCAACGGCAACGGATGTGGCGGACATGGTGGCAATGGATGCTGCCATGGAGGCAGTGGGTGCTGCCATGGAGGCAATGGGTGCTGCCATGGCAACGGATGCTGCAATGGCAACGGATGCTGCAATGGAAGCAGTGGATGCGGAGGCCTGATTGTTGTGAACTTTTGACGTGTTTGGCTTATGTGTGCTATGTATGAAGAGGCGATCTGTATAATTTGGGCCTACTCCGGGGGGGCAAGTAGATGTAGTCAAAAACGTTTTGTGCCATCTACACCCATGTAAAATACTGTAGGCCTATTTTACACAGTTGTTGATGGCTCAATAAGGGGGTGGGTTGAGCCATCAATGCAGCCTTTCAACCATGCGAACATGACAGCTTTTTGCAGCAACTGGGGAAGTGAGTTGCGGCATCTATTGGTTCAACCATCAATCTCACCTTTCACCAAGGGATCTATTTGCCCTCCGGTGTACTGGGTTTGAGAACTTGCCAGCAACACTGTAGTCCAAAATGCATTCCTTGCACATGGTCTCTACAGAATGGGAACGGTTGACCCCCGATAAGTCCCCGAGTAAGTCCCTTGCTTTATATAGAACTTTTCTGGGAGAAGATGGGAGAAGTGAGGTTTGGAATTTTGTAGAGGGGCAAGCTGATAGGTACCAACTGCATGTTGAGCTCATTTTGTAGGTCTTTTGTTGTATTTCTGTTTATGGCGTTTCTTGGCAAACTGGGACCCATTGTGTAGAAGGACTGTCATTTTGTTGAACGACACGTGCAGAGAGGAACAATATGAACAAAAGCATGTTTGATGGTTCCAGAGTTTTTGTAGTACGGCCAAGAGCCCCTAGTAGCTTCTTGTTCCTATACCGGGGCCCGATAACATGGCATCCTCAAAACTCCCAATATATGCCATGTTAGTGAGAACCCCCCCCTGCAAAGGCGTCGAAAGCATTTGGAACCCTTAGATGGCACACGGCACATGGCCGGTATAGTTTTTCATACACTAACATGGCACACTGATATGAACATGTAGCTCTTATGTTAGCGTACATAGATTGTTAGGAAATGATCATTTTTAAAAGGACAATGAAAGGAAATACTCATTTTTAAAAGGAAAATGAAAGGACATGAAAATTTGTAAAAGGACAATGAAAGGAAATGATCATTTTAAAAAGGAACATGAAAGGAAATAATCATGTTGAAAAGGAAAATGAAAGGAAATGATTTGTTTTAAACAGGAAATGAAAGGAACTAAATATTGTTTAAAGAAAAATGAAAGGGAAGGATCATTATGTTTTCCGTTTAAAGTAATGATCCTTCCCTTTCATGTTTCTTTTAGAGATAGTAATTTCCTTTCATTTTCCTTTTAAAAAAGTATGGTTTCCTTTCATTTTTCCTTTAAACATGCTCATTTCCTTTCATTTTCCTTTTAAAGATTATCATTTCCTTTCATTTTGATTTTAAACATGATCATTTCCTTTTGTTTTCCTTTATTTTAATGATCATTTCTAATCGTTTTCCTTTAGCTTCCTCTGGTGTGCCATCTTAGTGCACCTATTGGGAAATAGTAATTTCCTTTTGTTTTCCTTTTAAATAATGATCCTTCCCTTTCATGTTTCTTT